CTTGCATATAAGGAATGTGCACAGATAATGTTTTCATGGCACTGACTGTCTCAGGCTTGATCAAAAGCTGCTAATCTTAATACACCTCTTTTCCTTGACTTCAATGAGCTTTGGATTGGGCCCTTTGAGAGCAGATATAAGCTAAAAATATTGCAGTGCCAAGACTGTGTAAAGTCAGGAGAGAAATATGATCAATTTTATCATTATAATACTCAGCAGTTTGTAAACTCATTAACATTTGCAGGGAACATGCTGTTTTACCTGTGACCTATAAATTCTGGAAAGCTCAGGAGAATTGCCACTCCCAGAAGTGTGGATGGCAAAGATATTTTGGGGGAAGCATGATGGAGCCAAGTGGCATGGTTTAATTGAAGTTGCTATGGGATGCCATGACAAGTCACTATACATCTAAACAATGGCAGAGATTGCACAGAGTGGCTTTCAGGTTTATGAAATTCTATAAGAAAGTGGGAGTCAGGTTAGCCAGATATTGCCCACAAATTAAAACACATTTCATACATTAGGGTCCATTTATAGCAATAAGAGGGTGGATGATACTAATGTCCCCCATTCCAACTATGCTAAATGTTGTTTCAAACCTGCATGTGCTGAGGGGAAAAAGTATAAATTCTAGGTTAGATCAGTAATATCAGATGCACAGGGATCTCATGTAGGCACTAGAAAAATATTGGAGGACAAAAAAAAAAAGGATATAACAAGCATGAAGCTATTTACAGACTGAATAGAGAATTGTGAATCTTTAGCTGCAGCAAAATGCTTTGGAGACTCAGCAGCCATTGTCTCATGAGAAAGAAGAACATATACAGTGCTTGAAACATTTTTATATGAAAAGAACCTTTCCATTAAGATTTTTTTTAATAGTAGGGGTTTACCAATATGTCAAGATTTTAAAAATAATAAAATTAAAGAATGCTGCTGTCTTTTTTTTTTTCTGAGTTGTAAATCCATATCACTGTGTTTGTAGGATATACAGCTCCTTGCCAATAACAACTGTCCATAGCTAAAGGAAAACTTTAAGAGTCTTTTGTGTTTTCTCAACAAACATCCTAGTTCTGTATTTTTTTCAGTCACAATGTGTTTTACAGCAGCCTCAAAGCTCTGTCAGCCATCCTGGCTCCTAGAGAGTTAAAGCACTACCAAAGCACTACTTGCAGTTGCTGTTACAAGGACAACTTCAGTGATTCCCTGTTCTTCCCTGGTGCTCACTATAGTTCCTAAAAAGGGTGGCACAGCCATTTTAGGGAACTTCTGGCTAATGGCACCCAAGTTCCTCGCCCTTCTCACCCCAAGCCCTGCAGCTGGGCAGGAATGGACCTGGCAATCTTTTCTATGTTTTGTATCTTGTATGTTACAAAGAATGGTCTGTGTCCTGGCCAAGACCAAACTAAAATATTATGGAGCAAAGTAAAAGTGACAGTTGCCTGCTGGTTGTGTGCAGAGCTGTGGGAGACAGGTGTAACTGTGGTTTGCTGCAGTGGTTATGTCAACATGGTGTTTGAAGTGCATTTGTGTAGGCAAAATCCAGACACGAGACACCCCAAATTAATGCCAATGATAATTGTGCCATCCCAAACTACCACAGATTCACTGTTTGTGTTATGCTATGGATATGCTACATTTTCTATAGAACTACCAGTATTAATGGATCACTTCAACATCTCTTAAAAAATTAATTAGAGCTGTGATCCAGCCTGTACATCATTTATTCTCTATTATTCAGGAATCAGAGTAACTACTGAAAATTCTAAAAAATTATTTTACTCTCAAGAGACAAAGTATTAATCTGTTTATATCAGGCTGGCAAATGCTATTAGAAGATCAAGTTTAGAAATATCAGAATAGATTTCCTGGAATAATTTGGCAAAAGGCATGTGAATTGATGCAGATATTCAGGAAATTAACTGATATCCTGAATAGCACTGGCATATATGCAAAAGGAATGCATTTGTGTGCATATCTTTACCTACAGAAACAATAAAATACAGACAATAAAATAGCTTTGAAAAGGTAGCCATGTCTCTCTTAATTTAGCTCTTGGCTTCGCTTGCTGAAACTTCCAAATGTGCAGCTGGGGGAAGGGAGAAACAGGAATTTCTGATGTAGACATTTGTCCAGTAGGAACTAGATGGAACTGCCAGCTTATTACACATGGACCATTGAACACCAAGCAAACACTACTCTCTCCCTCCTGCACATTTGCAGTGTCTGTGGATTTCCTCATATAGTTACTTATCCTATTAGCTTAAGGGAAAAGCTCTAATTGCATTCACATGGAAGCAAAATTTTCAGTATATGCTCTTTCCATTACTGTTCTTCTCCTTTTTCCCAGTATCAGTTAGGGTTTAGTAGAACTCTCAGGATTATGAGCATATTTTACATTTTCTGGTTTGCATTAATATATGATACCAAAGCAAGTAAAGAAAATATTAAACAAGTATTTATTTTAAAAAAACCCACAACTGTCACTAAAGTATGACCTTTGATACAGAAGAACAGCAGAAGTTTGGCTTCACAGCCCCCATGCTGATTATAGGAACTGCTGGGTGAAACTATAGGACTTGGATATTACAGGGGCTGTCTGTAGAGATCATAGATCTAATAGAACTAATCTCTTCTTTAAAAGCTATGAACACACTCAGCCCATGTGCTAAGAGGAGGTCAGAGATGGAGCTTGGCCAGTGTGAGCATATTGCTGTGGATCACTGTTCTGCCTGGCCACTTTTCCCTTTTTTCCTCCCACAGCGAGGGAGCTTGGATACCACTGAGAATGCTTTAACACAAGGCATGTTGCAACAACAGGAGAGAAAAGGGAGAGCAGAGACACTCCACCTTCCAGATAGCCAGGTACTCTGTCAGTCTGTCACAGTAGTAGTTCCCCCAAGTAACAATTCAGTCAGTCAATAAAGTCTCTATTTAAAAGACCTCTGGTTTTCTTCCATAAGACCGAGCGTACTCATAAAATACGCATTTGCCAATAACTCTCAGCCCTGTTTGTAGCAAGTCTGACACTATTAAGACACTGGGAAACTTGTTTCTTTTCAGATTATTTAGTGCTCAAAGGCTTAGAAATCTAGTGACAGATAGTTTAGGCTGCAAACTTACAAACTGGCCACAGTTACGCTCACTGTGACTGTATATAAACAGGGAACCACATGTGACAAACATCACATTCTATTTCTTCACCATCCAGTCCCTTAAGGTTGAGGGTTTTTTTCGTACAGCAGTAAGTTTTTGTCAATGCCAGTGTCCACTTCAATAGAAGGAGTTTTTCATACACTCAGATTTTATATTTGATTTTTGAACCACCAATGCTAACTAAGCTAATTTCTTTAGTGAATTGCATGAAAATTAATAAATTACCCTGAGTAACCATTTTACATTTTTTAATATTTTAATACTCTTATTTGAGGCTTTAGAGGTATTAGAAAACTTGGGGTTCTTCCCCTAAAATGAACTTCTGATTAGTACCAATTATTAATTCTTTCAGAGTGTTTATTTTAATAACTGTGTTAACCTGGAGCTCCAAGAAAACTAGAAAGTGTTCTCTAGTCTGCAACTGTAATGATGGCAAACTGCCAGGATGTTTGTGACCTCTAGAAGTCCTTAAGGTTTTCATCAGCATTTCCTTATCCCCAATACTCTGTTGTTTCTGTTTTAAATTACATCTCAGCATCTCCAGAGTAGGTAATAATGTTAATGTGATACAACAGATTGTTACAAGCTTCCTCGGATTATGAGATGGGAATATCTTGATTATGAAAACAATGATGGTGTTTATTGTATTATATTTCTGAAATTATTATTATAGTATTATGCTGGTACAAATTATACTGTTGCATCTCAAGCATACTTATTTAAAACACAGTGGATGGAATTCAAAGACTGTCAAAGACAATGAAAGACAATACCTGACTCTCCCTGGTTTTGTGTCAGGATCAGAATGCTATTGTAACCTTCACATTATGTGGCACTAAATCCTAAGATCAGAAGACACAAATTTCTTGACTTTTTTGTGCCTGTAGAGTTAATAGGTACCATAATTACAAAGAATTGTAAATAATGGGTGCAAAGCTCATGAAAAGAGCTTGTTGCCACTGCTGAAATACATTTGTTTGCTACAGAATGTGCAGTGGGTTAGTACAGGGAATCTTGTAACTGTGGCTACAGATAATAATAGAAAATGTATCTCTCAGAAGGAACTTTTTGTTTCTATATTCATATAAAGGTTCTTTCCCTGCTAATACTTAAAGGCAAGGTGATAGCAAAATGAGGATTGCTTACAGAGCTGGGGAAAAAAAACGTTGTGTTACTCTGCATTTACCCTTTTGATCCAGTGTTAATGCTGCACTGAGAACATAATGTGCTACATGTTACATATTACATAATACATGTGGAGGTATATATATTAATATATTTGCTATGTATACTGTGGCAGCTTACATGCACTTTACATGTAAGTGGCCTAAATTCAGAAAGTTGAAGTGGAATGTCATATTCCATTGTAGAACACATAAAGTCTTGCACTGTCCTGAAGTGATAAAATAAAGTATGTAAGAAAATGCAATTATTTGTTTAAAAACCCCACATTTGTTATTCTAAGCCAAGTAGCACAACTTCAAGCTTTTAAAAATTCATAACACTTGGTGTTGCTAGAGTTGGTGTTGAAGCTGAGACAAACATATGCTGTCTTTTCCCATATCACCTTTATAGATCCTTATGCTGCAATGACATTTTAATTGTAAGTTGTTTTCTTCCATTCATTTAAAGTGTTTTCATGGGTTTTTTTAATTAATGGTGACGTCTAAACAAATATGATTTTTTTGTGTAAGTTACAGAGCATTACATAAATTTGCCTATTGGTGAGCACTTCCAGAAACCCATGTCAGGTATTAGCTATTTCATTTCATCTCTTTTGGCAGTATTTTTCCAGGATAGTTGCCTTGTCACTAACTGTGGCATATCTTCATTACAACTGTCAGGCACAGAAAGGCAGAATCACAAACATGAAGGCAAGAACAGCTTTGATGGGCAAGAAAGAGATTGAGAGAGAAGGAGTGCTGAAAAAATGGCATCATCCACTGGATACTCCTCGGGGTGTGGAGAATGAGACTTTGCCTGGACTGCTTTTGAGTCACAGTTGGGTAAGTCATTAAGTTATTACTATTGCATATATGATGAGATTGGTTTTCAGACTCATTTTTGCTTACCCATTTTCTGATATTATTTAACTGTGGCTTAAAGGAAAAAATATAATATGGTTATCATCCAAAGCTCTACCAAACGAGTTAAGCTGATAGAGTGTCAAAATTCAGTGCAGGTACTTTTACCCATGGGGTAAAATCTGTTCTGCAGGTCCAGCTCTGCTCTGAAAGTTTGCTGGGCTATGTAGGCTGCTCCAGGTGTTCCACACTACCTAGTTCTGAAATTTTGAATCTTTTTTGAAAAAAAAAAAAAAGAACCTCCAGAGCATTTTAAGTCAAACCCACTCTCTCTGTGTGCTTTCTGACATCTTCTTTGTGAAATGAGGCTCTTCATTGTCATCTCCCTTTGACAGCTTCTCTCATCCTGTATGTTCAATACATCCACTCTGAGCAAGTCATCCTTTCATCTGGCGTTTCTTTATGTTAAGGCTATGCTGATCCTCACTCTGAATTGGATCTGCCAGGCTGGCTGATATTGTGTGCTGTAGTTTGCCAAACCTCGTTTGCTCTGACTGGCAGTGATAGCAGCACACACCACCTCAGCCAGCTGTGGCAGCAGCAATCTATGCTGGCCAGCTGTAGGGATCTAAACATAAAAACACAAATATGATAATGTAGGATTGCTGGACCACAGCCAGCGCTGCACTGGCTTCTGCAACACCTTTCTCCAATGTGAAGCACACAGATAATCTGATGCTCAGAGGCATTCAGCTTGCATGCAGTCAGACTGAAAAAAGCTCAGGTTTGCTTTATGTGGACACAGCTCCAGCTGCAGGGCCTCACCATTTCTGACGTGGAGGGGGCTCAGGAACTGTTTCAACACAAGAAGAAACCTGTACTTGTTTTAGTCCTGTGAAGGATGAAAAAAACTCCATGTCTTAATCAGAGGAAAGTTGGTGAGAGTGACACAGTTAGGAGCTGTCACTGATATCAAACCCACAAGACAGAGCAAGCAGCCTGCATAGAACTTGCAATTATCTCAGGTCAAACCCAGTGAAATCCATGGCTGCAAGTTACTGTGAGAATATTTCAGGAAGAATCTTCAGCTGATGGAGTATTGATTGTGACACACTGACTGCCAGGATTCAGTCATGCACTATGACATGCATATGGTTCTAGTTTTAATTTTCTGGGGTGATAATTAAGAAAAAAATATTCCTCTTCTGTCAGTTCCTTCAAAGCTGAAAAGAGTTGCCAGTGTCTGTATGTGAAGAGTATTAAAGTTATAGCTCATGGTCACCAACCTTCAGGGTGCACTGATCTCCAACTCCATATAGGCTGCAGGTATAGGGGGAAAGTTAATCCATTTCTACACACAGAGATTTCCTAAAGGGAAATATGCATTTAGGATTTCTCCCTTTGTATTTTGCTAGTTAGCCTCAGATTGCTTACCACCAGTGACTTTGCATCACTGAAGCTGTGCAGCATCTGCTTTCCCAAGAGTGTTGCAAGCCATAAATGAGGATTAATGCTGCTTTTGAACTCCATTAACTAGTGTGGATTTTCCATTTGGAAGCTTCTAGCACACACTTAATATCATGTGAAATAGAAATAAGAATAATTAGCAATTAATAAATCATCTGCTAAGTTTTGAGCTTGTTTTTCCCTCTGACCTTCTGACATATTCTGACTTCTTTCAGACTTTCCTGTACGGTTAATTTAGACACTACAACCAGGCAGGCATTATCCTGAGAAATAAGTTCTTTGATCCACAGGGAAGAGGATGTGCCATAGATTACTCCATCCTTCTTTTCTTGTTTTCCTGGCATTTCCAACTTCTGATGACTAGATCTCACTGTTTGACTCTCAGAGCAGAATTTCAATACTTATTTGATTTATGGATCCAAACTTCGTGCTAACAATGCCCTGTAGGATTTTATTGCACTCAGTAAATAACTCAAGGTTTATTGTTCTTAAAAGAGAACATGGGTAATGTAATTTTTATTTTGTCTAGCTATCTGTTACTCCCTCTAGTAGCTTTTAACTCCTTTGCCCTTTTTGGTGTTATTGAGATCTCAAGGATGAGATGTTTCTAGAGTTCTTAGGAAAACAAATGGCTGAATGGAGACAAAAGGCTGAAGTACAAACTTTATAGTTGTTTGCTTGGTTTGTTCTGCTTGCTGATCAGTCAGTACATGTATGCCAGGGTGGGTAACTCCAGAAAAGAGTATTATTCTTTGTCCAGACAAAATCAAGAAACACAAGAGGAACCTGAGGTGCTAGATATGGGTTATTGAGATGCAGAGGGGCTGGAGGGGAGAGGGACAATCCTTCCTCTTCCTGACAGACATGAGAGGTGGTAAAGAGGAAAGAGAAACTTTAGTGTTATTCCAGTGGACAATTTCAGCAGAGTAAAGCATTACGTTACAAAGACCAGATTTTCATGGGCCACTTGCCTTCCTTTATAAAAATGTTTGGGTAATTTTGACGCTTATAAAATCTGAAAATCTTTTCCTATGCACAGGGCAGACAGGTGATTCACACTTTGCAGCATTACTCTAGTTCTGTGTCTCTGGTTCCAGAAACATCTTCATCTATCTCTCTATATTTGCAGAAATGATGGAAAAGGTGTCACCTAGGAAATAAAGTGCAGCTTGCAAATAAATATTTCAAACCAGATTTTCGCAAATAAATGTTAATGGCTCTAGAGTGCCAGACTATGACAATACAAGATCATCACAATATAAAGTGTGTCATTTGTATGTGCCTGAAAAGAACCCTGCAGCACTGCTGTTCTTTTCTCTGCTGTAATTTGCTTACTCTGAGAGGAAAAAAGCCTAATCTATTTGCATAAAGTTATTTAGACTTCTCTATAAGAGTCATAGGATCACAGCTGGAAAAAAAATTAGTCAGGTAATTCTTAGATAAGTGCATTAAATTATTAATATAATAAGCAAATCATAGAAAAAGCTAGCTTAATAATATAAATTGTATTTTATATACTTATCTTCTAGAATATATCTGCTAAAATGTGGACATTTTCAAAGAGGCATAAATAATTTTAATATTTTTAAAGGTTCAGAAGTTTCTGGTATTTGTTACTGAGTTTGTACAAAGATTTTTATCCAGACTTAGTGCTTGACTTCTCTATCACCACAGTCATACCTTTGTGTGGTTAAGGAACAGTATACTGGGCTCCCAAGGTAAAATTTTACTTTACTGACTTTGATGCAAAAACTTCTAGACACGAGATAAATCTCAGACACATACTGGAGAATAAGGAGATGGCAGTTGTAAGTGAATTTTGCTATTATAGCTCTTAAAGATATCTTTATTCTAGTTAAAAATTTAGGCAAAACCCCTTTGCAAATTTCTTATCCCTTCTGATTTTTTATGGATTCTTGAAGATCTTTTGGGGGGCTAATTATTTCTGTGAGAAACTAATTGCTTCTGTGAGAAATTTAGGGCTAATTATTTCTGCAAGACCTCTTTTCTTAAATGACAGTCCTTAAGCAAGGAGGAAAAACAAGAACCAAGAAAAATAAGTGCTAAAATTATGAGAAAGAACTTATCAATATCTAATGTAAATTATTTTACTTTAAAAATCCTTATAGAAGTTCATTTAACTAAGTGTTTACTGGCAATTTAATTACAGATCTATGACTAGAAACTTGAAACTGTTCTAACCAAAGTGCTGGTGAGGTTTGGTTTTGACAAAGGATAAGGAATGTTTCCTCACAGTACCAATGGCTGTTCAGAAATTAACTTGAAACTTTAACAGGAATCTGGATTACTACAGGAGGAATGCAGTTCTCCAACCTTACAGCTTTGAGAAAACAGCAAATAGTTTAAACCATTACTATATATGCAAAATATATTTTTAAATTAGAGTTGGTCATTTGATGAGGTAGAGTCAAGCTATTAGTAAAAAAAAACACATTTCCTTTTTGGAAGCTGTTTATAAAATAGTATAAATGGACCTCATTCTTTTTAACACAAGAATTCATCCAGTTATTTGCCTCTGAGTGATATAAGCATATTGTTTTAACAGGGCAAACCCCCCTGGCCAGAGCAGCAGACCAGTTAGTCCGGGCTTGGCCAACTCCCCCATTGCAAACGTGCTGACTTGGATCCCTCCATACTTGGAAGGGCCTCCATGAAACAAATCCACTGTGCTCAGTGCTCTGCTCATGGAACATTCCAGAAAAATTTCAGACCATTTACTCAGGTGAAAGCTGCCACCTGTGACTGTGCTTCGTTCCAGGGTTCCGTGGTTGGGAATTCGGTGTCCGCACAAACCCTCCAAGAGGCCTGTTCTACCTCCTGGGGGTGACAACAGTTGTTCAGCCACAGCAGCTGAGCTGCCAAAGGGGACAAGCGTGGAAGGAGAGCACAAAAAGTTCCCTTCCTCCTGTGTGCCAAGGGCATGGACATTTTCCTTGTGTGCAGATTCCCACACTTCCCTAAAATCAGAACAAAAATGGAAAATACGTCTAGCTGAAAACTTCTTCTAGTCTCTTGGCTTCTCACAGCACTTCTCAGGAGGGTTTGATTTGGTAAATTATTTGGTAGCTTTCACTGCACTTCCCCTAACTGGCTTGTATTGCTTTTGGCAGTGAACATTTTTCCTTTTCCAACACTGAACTCTTTAACCTGTATCATGGGGGTTTTTTGAAAAGCCGTAAGATAAACTTCCTGCATATCCCTTTATCTCTCTCCTTACTCCAGATGAATAACAAAAACACAATTCCCCTCAACAAGGTGTATGTGAGGTCCTACATGAATTGTAGTGCCCCGGGTGAAATCCTTGAGCCATTAGAGATGACAAATGCTTTACTATGACTTTTGACCAATCAGAATTTCATCTAATTGGCTTTATCTGACCATTGCTCCAAGCACTGTCAAAATCCTACTATTGTTGCAAGGCTCACAGGCTGTGCCAGCCCCACCCCAGAGTCACACCCTGGAACCCAGGGCTGAAAGTCCTTTGTCTACAGTGC